AGAATGTGAAATTCTTAAGAATATCCTCTCATCTTCTGGTTCTTGAGAGTATCCCTCCCACCAACTAGCACAAGTACTTTACAGACTCCATTTCCTTTTCCTTTTTCAAAGATACTTTTCTACGTTATTCTCCCTCCACCTTGCATGGCCTATTCTTCTTGGATTATTTTCATCAACACATAAACATGCTCTAGTGACTCCTGCTAGAAACAAACAAAAAACAACAACCAAAAGAACTTTCTTGATCCCATGCTCCTCTCCAGATACTGACCAATATCTCTGTGGTGGCTGAGTAAAGCTTCCACAGAGAGAATATAGTACTTACTGCTTCTCCTTCATTACTTTCAAATTTTTCTCAACTTATTCTTAGGTCTTCGGTCTTCTCCAGCTTTTCCAAACTCCTCTTGTTAAAGTCACCCACAGCATTCATGGCCACTAAATGCAGCAGTTGTCTGACTGGACCTCTCAGCAGCAGTGGGTATAGCTAGCTCCCTGCTCCTGCCAGAAGCACTTTTTATTTGTCTCCCATCACACCACTCGTGCCTGTCTTCTCTCTCAGGAGCTCTTCCTTCTTACTTTACTTTGCTGGTGTCTCCTCCTTGGAGTAATACAAAATGTGGGACTATGGCAGGCTCAGACTTGGCCTTCTTTCTCTTCTACAACTCCATTTCCCCCTAGTTTATCTGTTCAATGATCCATCCAGTTCCATAGCTTGAATCACCACCTATATCAAGATGTTCCAAAATCTATTTTCCCCACCCTGAGTTCTAGACTATACTCATATGTTGCAGTACCAACCTGGCATAAATATGTGGCTATCTAAATTATGGACTTTAAGCTTAGTATGTTCAAAACAGAACACTTACATCCCATTCCCTCTGTCCCCTGATCCTCCTCAGTCTTCCTCATTTCAGAGACTGGTAAAATGTCCACATAAATGGTAAAACTGAAATCCATGGAGCTCCTTTACCCTGCTCACCCCATATCTAATGGACTGCAGGGCTTTTGGCATCAACTTCTGAACCCTAACTGGAACCTGACTCTCCCTTTCCATTTATTCCATACCCCCTGAAGCTACATCCTCTCTCCTTTGTACTGCTGCAATAGGTTTCTAACTAGTTTCCCTGATTACAAGCAAAAGTGACAGTTTAAAAATATAAATTGGATAAAGTGGCTTTTTGGTTTAAACCTTCACTACTTCCCAGTTTATTTAGAATGAAGGCCAAACTGCTAAACCATGACCCATAAGCCCTTATGTCTAACATGATCTGTCCCTTGCCTAACTCTCTAAGCTGCCTGGACTTCCTGCTGCTCCTAGAACACTTCCAGCTTCCCTACCTAGGTCTTTGTGTTCCTTCCTTCTCCCTGAAGCACTCTTTCCAGGTCTTGACAGTTGGTTTCTTTTCATGGTTCCTGTCTTAGATCAAATGTCATCTCTCAGAGAGCCTTCCTGATCACCCTATCCCATCAGCCACCTTTATTTTCTTTACAGCACTTGCTGGTGTCTGGAACGATTTATGAATGTGCTAGTTTACTCTCTCACCTCTTCTGGAGTGTCAGTGCAGTGGGAGCAGAGACCTATCTTGTTCACAGATGTATCTGCAGTGTCTGGACCACTACCTGCTTTACAGAGGTCACCCAATAACTATTTCATGAACAATTGTTTGTTGTTGTTGTTATGTGCCGTGGAGTCAGACCTGACTCATAGCGACCCCTCCTTGGGTTTCCGAGGCAGTATCGCTACGGAAGTAGGATTGCCCAACCTTCCTTCCGAGGAGTGGCTAGTGGGTTTGAACCACTAGCCGTCTGGTTAGCAGTCAGAGCTCCCTTTA